CTAAGATCAAAATCTTATTTAGCTTTTTGTTGTTTATTTCAGATTCTTTAAATTCTTAAGCATATAATTAAAGTTTTTTTGCGTTCAGGATTAAAGAAAGATTCACCCTGCATTTTCAAACTTGTCATTCCAAAGGTCTCTAATAGCTTAGAAATAGTAGTTAATGAGCAATTTCTGAAAGCAATTAGAAAGTGAGGTTTACAAACTCAGTGTCCTTTAAAAGGCTCTGCTGCAGTTGCGGGCAAGATGGCTAATCCCATCATCTCCTGGCACTCAAATCCACAGAAAACCACTGTTCCGCAATCTCCTCACAGGGGGCAACTGTCCAGAGCACATGTGGGCAATCTCAAATCTTATTATCTGGAGAGGTTCCAAGGAACCGGTCTACTCACACTCCTCAATTCTTTGCTGCAGTCATTGGCTCTGCATCTTCAGTTCACCATACCTCCCCAGAAGTCTAGTCTCTGCACACTTGATAACACAGGCAACTCTGGTCATATGTCTGACACAGTGAATGCTGATATATCTGATGTGTGTGGATGCCTAGCCTCCTTCTTCCTGGAAAACTGCTAAACCACAACATAATATGCAGAGCTGTCCTGTATCCACTAAGCTGAGTTAACCTCTGCTAAATTCAACAGGAGTTAACAGTTCATATTTATTTCAAATATTGATACCCTGTCATTTAGTACTACACATCCAGAAGATTACTTTCAACAAGAGCTTAAAAACTCAAAAGTTCTCCACTATGTGTCATCATCACACCATTCTACCAAACAGGCTTCACGTTAGTAAATGAAATGGTTGAGCAAATGCTAAGAACTGAACAAGGCCTGTGCAATTTTTTTCTGATACTGAAGGTCTGGCTGACTGCTTTATTTACAGGAAGCTGTTATTTGTATTCTTCCTTCATAGTATTGTTCTTGAGCAATACTATGTTGAAGCCACATTGTGGGAAGATTCAAATAACTTCTTCACACAGAGAGCACCATCCTGATGCATCTCTCAGTGGCTCAGGAACTGGATCTCGTGTGCATCTCACAGCATTCCAACCATCTACTGCTTGCTCAGGAAGTCTATCACAGCCCAGCTGAGCCCACAAAGGGAAAGAAAGAGCATTTAAGTTCTTTGGGAACTTAACAGGGCCCACAACTGCAGCAATAGCAAAAGGGCTGCTCTAAGGTGTTGGTTTTCCTCTCAAAAACAAAATGTTAACTGATAACGCAACTTCAAACATCTGTAGTTCATGAAGAATTCTCTCTCTCTCTCTTTTTACAATTTAAAGAAACAGGAAATACTTTGGTAGAAACAGGAAGCTTAGCTGGTGACTTCACAATCATGCAATGCTTTTTTTTGCTGACGAGCAGGCAGCAGGGAGTGGGATAGGGCACTTCAGAAGACAGCAGTGTGTGAAGGAAAAGAAAGTTGACTACATCTACCTGCAGATGTTAGACAACATGAGGGAAAGTACAAGAGCCATCAAGATGATATACTCCTTTCTGGCTAGTCTTCTATTGGCTTTCAGGCCAACACAAGTAAGGTGTCATGCATTAGATTTTCAAACCATCTGACTGAGATTTTGCCTTTGCGCTAAGACAGATAAAAAACTTCCCTCTTGTCAGCAAGCACTGAGGAATTTAGAAATTATTATTGTCATTAGTGCTTCTACTTCACTGGATAGCATTTCTTGACTACAGTTAACCTTTTGAAGGGTTAATTATAGAGAGTAATTAATTAATTATAGAGCCAAATTAATGTAGTGGTTAAGAGGCTGAACTAGGGCTGGGAAGCTCCAGAGTCAGGCTGCTATTCAGCCACAGAAGGTACTAGATGATTTGGAACCAGCTTCTTTCTCTCAGGCAAACCTACCTTACAGGGTAGTTGGGGAGCTTCTTTCATTTGATCTCTACACATATTCTGCCTCAAGCTCCAGAGAAAAGGAAAGATATGCATGCAATAATACTTTCTTTTTGGATAGATACATCAGTGAGCCTAGAATGGCTGCTGCAACCCACAGCAGCTATTCTGGGCATAAGAGAAAAAGATGCAAGAAACATCCCACATCCTGTCACTGTGTGCACTAGGTGACTTTCTATCTCTGTCCCCAAACACACACACACATGCTGTTACAGAGACGGACATCTGTATGCATGACTAGCCTTAATGGAAGCCTCAAGCTACACATTTCCTGGCCACTGTTCTCCAAGCTGAATGGCTAGTTTGATGGTTTAGGCATTGTATTCATGCACCCACTGATGAAGAGAAAGTGTATCTAAATATATATCTTTAAATAAAGATTTTTGTGGGGATTTCTTCCTTAAAAATGTATAACCTACTCTTAAAATGCAATATAGTGGATTTACAAATGAAAACTACAGTTACTGGAAATACACTAACTCATCCATCTTTATTCCAAACTGCTGTTTCTGACAAACTATATAAAACATATCAGCTGCACCCAAATGTACTTTGCAAAATCAGCATTTATAAAACAAAAAGAGGCTAAAGGTATAGGTCCACAAGAGACATAAGTGGAGGGCAGCCCCTTCAGGGAGAGACCATAGCAATATGAAGAGTATGCACCTTGCTCAATTCAAGCCCTAGCATCTACAGATACAGCTGACAAAGACCTTTACCCAAAACATACCTACAGATGAGCAAAAGCAATGCTTATGAAGCATTCAAAGAAGAACCATGTACTGAGGAGGCAGCATAACTGCTATACATAAATGAAAAAAGTACACCTAACTTGTATGTAGGGATGTGCAAAATTTGTTGAGTTAGGAATAGAACACTGCAGAGGAATCCAGAATGTTCTGGACCACACCAAACTGGAAGTAGCTTGAGCTGGTCCATCTCCCACCTCCACACAAAACAAGTCTGTTTCATTCATAACATCATGTTTGGAATACTACAAACCACTTTTAGTTTGAAGGATTTACTTCTGAGAACCATCAAACCATCCCCAGAATTGCACAGTCCAGGAGAAGATTCACTCTCATCCAAAGGGAAACAAAGTTTTTAAAAACCCCTTCCATTCCTGGATCAATGAATTTTTCACATAGTTCCTTGTACTGAATCATTCAGTGAATTGTCAGTGAAATAACAGATTTATTAGATACTAATAAACATGGGGAATACTGCTGCTAAATTGCATGACTGCTTGCATGATTTAAGTTTAGAAAAGGAGGGGTTTTTCAAAAGACTTCTCATCTGGCAGCACAAAATGCAACTTAGAGTAGTGTTATCAGATTATATGAAATGCTGCATAGTACAGAACTGCAAATCTATGTAATAAAAATCTGGGGCAAGTTAGCTGCAGATACTTACCATGCCACAACAGTGAGTTTCAAACAATTATTATAATATTTTTATTTATTTATGTATCAAATTTGTCACTGCCCATCTCGTTAAAAAAAAAAAAACAGCTCTGGGCGGTTTACAGAGATGCTAAAATCAGTTAAACATACAATATAAAATAGACCTGAATAAATAAGAAATAAATGTAACTAAAGCAAGAACAAATGTTTTTAAAGATTGTAATGCAATCATACCTCATCTGGGACCATAACGAGAGGGTATTTGTCTTCAGAGAGGAAGTTAAAGAGGCACCAGAGCCTGAAAGCATCTTCATGGGAAACAACACTGTTCCCATTCTTATCTGGCTTATAATTCTTCTTTGCTGTCAATGTCCAGCAAAGTTCATCAAAACTCTCCTTGACAAAAGCCCCTTCTGCTACCTGCAAAAAGCAAAGCAGAAGTGATTCGTTTTTATAGAGAAAAAAATAACCATTACTCATTTTCCAGATTGGGGTGAGAAACCCACAGCCCACTGATAGTTCCCAGTCCCTAATTGCTACTGAAATTTGGCAGCAAAATCAGCCAAATTTGCTTGTCAAATTTTGGGGACTTTCCGGGAGTGATTTGCTTCCCAATGGTCTTGTGTGCCAATCCCCATCCTTAACACACCTTCCAAAGCCAGAAAAAACATCCCTTCCATTGGCCCTCCAGAAGTCATGAAGGCTGATCCCCACCCATTCAAAGGTTGCTCTGTTTAAGAGATGAAAAACAAAACTTACTGATTAGGTGCAACAGAGGACAATAATCTTGTATCACTGATATAGGAGAAGAAATTTTAACACTCCTCCAAAGCCAGAAACGTGCTTCTAGATTGTAGTTTTTAACATGGCAGAAGAGGAAACTATTAAATATGTGGACATAAGTCAATGCTGTAAGTATTCTTTTTGTCATCAATGTATTGTCCCTCATATTATGGAGATGTGGGGGAGGTACTATATTATAGCTGATGGTTGCTTGCCAAAACACACCTAGCAAACTTCTGCTAGAGGTAAGATGCAGACTGGAGCTTTCCTGATGGACAATTCAATCTCTTAACCAAATGCTATACCAGCTTTCTGCTTTGTTCGTTTCCTCTATGCAAAAATACTTGGATTCAAGTAAAGTAGTATTCAATCATTGTCTGGCTCTTTCAGTGAGGTTCAGATTTGTTTGCTTAATTATTCTTTCATTCTTTGGACTGCTTCATGCCTGTTCTCTAGCTGTTTTTCATCATTTAATCAGGGTCAGCAAAGCAGCATCTCCAGGCCACACTACCCCTTGCTAGCATCTGCCAGGGCCCTTGTATCTTCTTGTCAGACTACTACTTTACTATAGGCAGGAAACTATTCAGGTACTAAACATGGCACTACTAGATAAGCATCTTTACTGCAACCAGAATAAAGCCGCCTTGGTAAGCTCTCTATCAATGTAAGAGCCCAGACCCTTCTTATACCTGCTGTAATCTTAATTCTAAGTTTCTTCTTGACACCTTTCCCACAACTTAACCTCCTTTGGCCTTGTATTTCTTAGGCTTGGTGCTAAGCAGCAGTTGCATCTCTGGATTATTAACGTAATTAACATTCCTGCCCCGAGAAGCTCTAACTCTCTATGTAACTCCAACTCTTGCTCCTCCTCCAGCGATTGGCGCAGTCTACTGAATGGTCAGATTAATGGGACTGATACGCTCTTTTTCTTTCTAGGGAAGCAGTTCAGTGTTCACTTGCAATAATAACAAAAATGGAGCTACTTTAATGTGCTTCCATGGAAAGAAAGGAGCAGGCTCCTGGCTCTCTTTCTCTTTCCAGTGAAGAA